TTTTAGTTGAATTTTTTCACAAACTTTTTGAAGTGCTCTTGTGTGGGCTTTCACTACTAAAAATTTCCATTTAAGTACTGCCATAGCTGCATTCCACAAATTCTATGTGTTATATTTTCTTTTTCATTCACTTCAAAATACTTTATCTTGTCTTATTACTTCTTGGACTTGGGGTTATTTAAAATATGTGTTACTTAGTTTCCAAATATTTGAGAATTTTTTGTAAGAGTTTTATTAATTTCTAATTTAATTGCTTTGTGGTCAGGGGAAATATGTTGTATGAAAATCCTTCTGACTTAATCTTTTCATTAAAATGTATTATCTGGTCTAGCTAGAATATATTCTTTAAGTATTCAGAGGGTACTTTAAAAAATGGTGTTGCTCAAGTCTATATTGCCGATTTTCTACCCCCTTGCTCTATTACTTATTGAGTAAGAAAGGGACATTGAAATCTCAGGTGACATAGGAAATTTGATTTTGCAGTTCTATCTCATTTTTTTTCTTGCCTTATATATTTTAAAGTTCTTATTAGATCATAAATATTTAGGATTATTATATCTTGTTGGTTAGTTGAACTGCTTATTATAAAGTGGCTTTGTTTATTGCTGATAATACCTTCTAAATGTTTATTTTTAAATATTTATTTATTTATTTGAAATTCAGAGTTGTGAGAGAGAAGGAAGAAGGGAAGGAGGAAGCAGGTGAGAGAGAGAGAGAGAGAGAAAGAAAGAGAGAAAGATGGTTCACTCTCCAAGTACCTGCAATGTCCAGGGCTGAGACAAGCCGAAGTCTGGAGCCAGGAGCCAGGAGCTTCAGCCGGGTCTCCTGCATGAGGTCTTGGGTTATCTCTGCTGCTTTTTCCAGGCCATTAGCAGGGAGCTGGATAAGAAGTAGAGCAGCCAGGACTCGAACTGGTACCTATGCCGATGCTGGCACTGTAGGTGGTGGCTTTCTAAATTTATTTTTATTTTTTTTAATTAAAAAAATTTTTTTTGACAGGCAGAAGAGAGAAAGGTTTTCTTTTTTTCCATTGGATCACCCTCCAAGTGGCTGCTACGGCTAGCGTGCTGTGCCGATCCGAAGCCAGGAGCCAGGTGCTTCCTCCTGGTCTCCCATGCCAGTACAGGGCCCAAGGACCTGGGCCATCCTCCACTGCACTCCCGGGCCACAGCAGAGAGCTGGACTGGAAGAGGAGCAACCAGGACAGAATCCGGTGCCCCAACCAGGACTAGAACCCTGGGTGCAGGCGTTGCAGGCGGAGGATTAGCCTAGTGAGCTGTGGCGCCGGCCTGTAGGTGGTGGCTTTACCTGCTGCACCACAAGAGATCTTCCGATCTGCTGGTTCACTCCCCAGATGGCTGCAATGGCCAGGGCCAGGGCTGGGCCAGACCAAAACCAGGAGCCTGGAACTCCCATGTGGATCTCCCACATGGGTGCAGGGGTCCAAACATTTGGAAAAAATCCATCTTCTGATGCTTTCCCATTCACATAGCAAAGAGCTGAATTGGAAGTGTAGAAGCTGGGACTTGAACCGGTGCTCAATTTTGCTATGAAATCTACTTTGCTGTGGCAACTCTTGCTCATGTTTTCTTTTATTATCGTGACATATCTTTTCCCATGTTTTAAGCCAGTTTTTGTCTTTACATTTAATCTATTTAGATCTGTGATCCATTTTGAGTTGATTTTTGTATAGGACATAAGGTTTCAAACTTTTGCAAGTAGAAATCCAGTGTTCACAATACCATTTATTGAAGAGGCTGTCCCTTTTCCAGGGAATTCTTTTGATATATTTGTCAAAGATAAATTGGTTGTAGATACATGGATTTATTTCTGGAGTTTGTATTCTGTTCCATTGGTTCAAGTGGCTGTTTTATGCTAGTATCATGCTGTTTCAGTTGTAACAACCCAGTAGTTTATCTTGAAATCTGGTGTTGTGATGCTCATGTCTTTGTTTTTATTGTTCAGCATTGCTTTGGCTGTTTAGGTTCTTTTAATTTTTTCTAGTTTTGTGAAGAATGCAATTGGTGATTTGATGGGGATTGAATTGAATAGGTAAGTCACTTTGGGGAGTATGGACGTTTTGATAGTATTAATTCATCCAATCCATGAACAAGGGAGATGTTTCATTAGTATTTTGTAATTTTCACTGTAGACATCTTTCACATCCTTGGTTAAAATTTATCTCAAGATATTTAATTTTTCTTGTAGCTATTGTGAATGTTGTAAGTTCTTTCTCAGCAAGATCATTGTTGGTGCGACTGATTTTTGTGTGTTGATTATGTATCCTGAAACTTTGCTGAATTCTCTTTTGGTGAAGGCTTTGTTTCTTCTATGTAAATGGCATAGGACACAGAGCCTAGAAGTAATCCCACACATCAGTGGCCAGTTGACTTTCGACAAAGATGCCAAGAACACACAAACGAGGAAAGGACAACCTCTTTAATAAATAGTGCTGAGGAAATTAGTTATTCCATTGTGTTTGTGTGTATACATACACATATATATGTATCATATTTTCCTTATCTAGTTATCATTTCATGGCCATCAGTGTAGCCCAGTTTCACAGCAGAAGTATGAAAATGTGCTCTCATTTCAGCCCTTATACAAGAATCAATTAAAAATGAACAAAAGAGGCCGGCGCCGCGGCTCACTAGGCTAATCCTCCGCCTAGCGGCGCTGGCACACCAGGTTCTAGTCCCGGTCGGGGCGCCGGATTCTGTCCCGGTTGCCCCTCTTCCAGGCCAGCTTTCTGCTGTGGCCAGGGAAGGCAGTGGAGGATGGCCCAGGTGCTTGGGCCCTGCACCCCATGGGAGACCAGGAAAAGCACCTGGCTCCTGGCTCCTGCCATCGGATCAGCGCGGTGCGCCGGCCGCAGCGTGCTGGCTGCGGCGGCCATTGGAGGGTGAACCAACGGCAGAGGAAGACCTTTCTCTCTGTCTCTCTCTCTCACTGTCCACTCTGCCTGTCAAAAAAAAAAAAAATGAACAAAAGATTTAAACAGAAGACCCCAAACTATAATACTACCAGAAGAAACCACTGGGGTGAATCTCCATGACATTGTTCTGCTCAGATATTTTTTTAAAGATTTATTTATTTATTTGAAAGAGTGATAGAGAAAAGAGAGGGAGGGAGGAAGGGGAGAAAGGGAAGGAGAGATAGAAAGAGCTATCTTCCATCTCCTGGTTCATTCTCTAAATGATCACAATGGCCAGGACCCAAGAACTCCATCCCAGTTGCCCACGAGGGTGGAAGGAACCCAAGTACTTGAACTATAATCTGGCTTCCCAGGCACAGTAGCAAGATGCTAGATCAGAAGCAGAAGAGCTGGGATTTGAATCAGTACTCTGATATGGGATGCAGGCATTTCAAGTGGCAGCTTAACCTGCTGCACCACAACACTGGTCCCTGCTCAGAGATTTCTTATATATTATCTCAAAAGCACAGGTAACAAAAGCAAAAATAAACAAATAAACCAAAAACATTCTACAGAACAAAAGAAACAGAGAGAAGTGACAACCTGTGGTTGGGAGAAAATATTTTAAAATCATAAAAATCAGATAAGGAGTTAATATGGAAAAATACAAGGAATTCCAACCTAATCAGTATAAAGAATACAGATATCTCTATTAAAAATTGGATTGGGACTAATGTGGTGGTGTAGCAGGTAAGCCTCACCTGTGATGCCAAGATAGTATATGGGCGCCAGTTTCAATTCTGGCTGCTCTACTTCTGATCCTGCTCCCTGCTAATGCAACAATGAAAGCAGCAGGAGATGGTACAATTCCTTGGGTCCCTACACTCATGTGGAAGACTCAGATGGAGTTCCAGGCTCCTGGCTTCAGTCTGGCCCAGTCCTAGCTATTTCAGCCATTTGGGGAGTGAACCAGCAGTTGGAAGATCTGTCTATCTCTCCCTCTCTCTTTAACTCTGACTTTTAAATAAATCTTTTTCTTTTTAGATGGATTTGCATAGATATATCTCAAAAGGAGATATGCAGGTGGTCAATAGGCATATAAATAAATGCTCTACATTTCTAATTATCAGGATAATGCAAATTAAAACCACAATATGGTATCATCTCACCCCCATTAGATTGAGTGTTATCAAAAAGAATGGTAACAAGGACAGACAGGGATGTGGAGAAACACAAACCCTTATACAGTTTTGATGGGAAAGTAAAATAGTACAGCCACTTTGGAAACAATATGGAGGTTCTTCAAAATACTAAGAATAGAATTACTAGTTGTTTTTTTTTTTGTTTTTTTTTTTGTTTTTTTTTTTTTTGACAGGCAGAGTTAGAGAGAGAGAGAGAAAGGTCTCCCTTCTGTTGGTTCACTCCCAAAATGGCCGCTACGGCCAGCACGCTGCGCCGATCCGAAGCCATGGCCAGCTGCAGGGCCCAAGCACTGCCTTCTCGGGCCACAGCAGAGAGTTGGACTGGAAGAGGAGCAACTGGGACAGAATCCAGTACCCCAACCGGGTCTAGAACCCGGGGTGCCGGCGCTGCAGGCGGAGGATTAGCCAAATGAGCTGCAGTGCCTGCCACTAGTTTTTCATACTAAGCATTTTTCATTAACTTTTTGCAGATCCATTGTATGCATGGATTTCTACTTCTTTGTACCAAAATAAACTTATATTTTAATTCTGTTTCTAAAAGCTTTTGAAGTACCCTCAAAAATATCTATATTCAATTGACCTAAGTCATAGGAATTCATTTCAGTTCTTGGTGTAGTGAAATTGCACAATTTTTGTATATAAACAGATTTATACCGAAATTCTAGCTTTGCCTCTTCTATCTCCATGCCCCTGGCCAAACGAGTGAACTTTATATTTTCTTCATTATTTAAAGTTTATGGAAAATTCATATCTTACAGAGTTACATGAATTTAATAATAAATATTAAGGGTCTAATCCAGTTCCTGCTACATAGCAAGTGTTCAATAAATGTTGCCCTCTTTTTTTTACCTTCCCTCAATTTTCCACCCGTTCTTTTTCTCTAGGTGCTTCCACCTTGGAGAGAGCATGGACTGGAGGGTAAGCATTTACTGGAAGCACTGTTATCAAAGACGGAAGACAACAGCTAATCATTTGGGGAAGACCAGTGTATGCTCAAGAGATGGAAAGCTTTTTTGCTTGGAAATTACAGGTTCAAAATTGCTAAGACAAAATGCTGTAAGTTCTTAGGCTGGTTAGGAAAACATGTAGGTATGAGAGTAGCATGCTAGAAACTAGTCAAGGAAATTAGGATAAATGCTGTCTGAACGGGGAGATTGTAAAAGCAAGTGAATCTAGTCTGACAGATAGAATTATCTCATAGGATAAACAGTGTTTCTATTTTTCTAGGTCCAGAAGACCATTGCAGACTGACATATTTTTCAGTTTTTGCCATGTTATAAGTATTCTCTCGCCTGGAAAGATGTGAAATTGTTAAATTGTCGCTCTTATCCCTGAAACCCGGCACTACGTGATTCTAGTGATTGTGATGAATATAATATAAACACTTCACAGTAAGAAGAAAGGGAAGCACACGATAACTTGCACAGTTATTTTCTGCACATTGTGTGTGGCACATTGTGCATGCCTACCCAGTTATATCACCAAGAACTCAAGTGCTTTGCATCTCTCTTCTCTGCCATTGTCAGCACGTATCTCATTCTCAGGTGAGTTCTCATTGTCACAAGCTTGCTGCAGCATTTTCAGAAACACATTGAGACAGGACACAAACCAGCCAGAGAAGAATGATTTATCTCATGTACCTCTTAAAAGTAGATTGAGACTTATCCATGCCTGACTCTCAATGAGATAGTTAAAAAGTATGCAGGTACTTCTAAAAAGTTCACAGAGGAAATAAGAAAGGAATTTATTGAGGACAAAAAATATTAAAATCTGTGTATACAACTGATCTTCAAAAACCTTATGAAAAATGAATATTATAAAATCTGCATGAATTACCAAAAAATCTTTAAATTCTCTTTTGCATGATCATTTTGAAGTCCCCTCATATTTAATAGTAGAGTTTGCATTTTCTCTTTGGAAACTTTTTCAGATTAGACAAGACAGTTTATTTTTTTTTAATATTTATTTATTTTATTTGAAAGTCAGAGTTACACAGATAGAGAAGGAGAGGCAGAGAGACTGAGGTCTTCCATCTGCTGGTTCACTCCCCAGTTGGCCGCAACATCCACAGCTGGGCAGATCTGAAGCTAGAAGCCAGGAGCTTCCTTCATGTCTCCCACATAAATGCAGGGGCCCGAGGACTTGGGCCATCTTCTACTACTTTCCCAGGCCATAGTAGAGAGCTGGATTGGAAGTAGAGCAGCCAGGACTAGAACCGGTGTCCATATGGGATGCCAGCACTGCAGGCGGTGGCTTTACCTGCTACACCATAGCGCCGGCGCAAGGTCAAACAGTTTTGGTGAGGAAAGTGACAACTTTGGTGAGCTTCTTTTAAGCAAAATGGTATTTTTGTTTAATGTCTTTAAATGAATCTCATATCTTTTTATGTCTTTTCTATCCATAATTATTATAGCTATGGAAAGAAAACACTTTGCAGCCCAAAATAAGATATTTTTAGAAATAATACCAAATGGTTTATAATGAATTGTCCAGTCTTTATCTAACCATCCATTTAACTGATTCGTAGAGGATTTTTCTTCTTTTTACCAGTAGAGGGTGCTACAATCCTGAGTATAAAAGCTTTTCTTAAGGCAGATATAACATCACAACTTTTATCTTGTTGAAATATTACACCTTTAAATTTACAATCTGAGTACTAGAAATGTGAAGTGATGTATATTTTATAATTTGTAACTTTGGAACTATACAAGGAAACTTCAAAAAGTTCATGGAAAATGGAATTTAATGGTAAGTTTATTTTGGTGCAAAATTTTTTGAAATTCATGTATAGATTTTTTCATAACATGAATTTCCATCAATGTTTGCATACCCTTCTATGCTTGGATTCTAAGATTTATTTTTGTGCCAAAGTCAACTCTCAATTCTATCTTCCATAGTTTTTTTATGGATTACCAGTACATTGTTTATGATATTCCAGTTACTCAGTATTTCTTTGTATATCTCCTAATATGAACTTCTTTGCCTGCCTAAGCAAACTTCATTACAAGGTATGTGTTTCCCTTACCTTGCTTTCACCTTTACTCATGTGTCCCTGTTTTCTGGATCACCAGTGTTTGTCATCTGTCTGTATATGATTTGCTTGAGACCCAGTTCAGAACCAACTCTCAGTTTGTATAGCATGGTGCAGTTCCTGTTGGTACTTAAGCAAATGTTTATTTTATGTTTATTAGAGGAAATAACAGCTTTTATTTTTCTACTATTAAATCATAAACTTGATAAATACAGGATGTTCAATTAAATTTGAATATCAAATAAGCAACACTTTTGTATAATTATGTCTCAGAAATATTTGTGATATGCTCACCATAAAATTTATCTGAAATTCGTATTTAATGATATGATTTGTATTTTTATTTGCTAAACCTGTCAACCCTAAACATAAACATGTAGAGCAGAATCATTGTCGTGTTCATCATATTCTTAACTGCAGAGCATGTGTCAACTCATAGAGAATGCTCAATGGAAAAGAGTGAAAATGGACTAAATGACTTAGTTTTTATAGAATGAATGTTTTCACTTTGGAAAATAACCGCTTTTAAATGATCTGCATTAGTTTTGCATTAATGTGTTGGCAATGAATTTTTATTCATTCTAAAAAGGAAATAGTTGTATGAAACCACTGAGTTAAGTAGAAATTTACAGACTTAAAATAAAAATTGGAGGGAACATTGAAAGATATTTATGTGCCTTAATAAATCTCTTAGGGTTGTTAAGAAATGTTATGTGGTTAAGAAAATTCTCTTGCAAAATAATTATGGATTTCTTAAAAATTATGATTTTAAAAGATGCATTATGTATAGAATCAAAAACAGAGTTATAAAAAGATGGTACCAGTACTATTCATCATTTAGAGTAATGGGATTATTCTCATATGTTGCTTTGAAAAGGAGGGAAAACTATTGTATAGTTATTACCCTATTTGAATAAATACATATTTCATATTTATTCAAAAATTCCTGTTAGTCTGGCTACCCTCAGCTAAACCTAAGACATCTGTTTACAAATTTCTTATGCTTTTGATTCATTGACCTAGAAAAAGAAAAGAATACCCCCTATCAACATGTAAATACTATTTTATGTCTGAATCCTTTCCCTGACTCTTGGAAGATAAATGTTGGACAATCTTATGATCAAATTCCATTATATACGGCATGATGTTACATTAGTGTTTAGAGAGATGAAATTATACTGATACAGCCAATATGTTCATGGTTGTCTATATACTCTTATGTATTCCAGAAGCTATTTAGAAAGTTCTTGCACTTTACCTAGTAAGAGCCCTTTTATAAATTCCCACAAATATGTATAGAATCTCATAGAAAAGCATAGGTTCAGTCAATCCCACTACATTTTAAGACAGAAGGTAAGTTCATAATTCTTGGAGGCCAAGAGAAGTGACTCTGAGCTTCTCTTAGTGGTTTGCTTCTGATCAGTCAGGCACTAAAGGGCACAGGTTTGCTTTTTCACATGGGACCATTTCTCTCTGGCCCCTGCTACTGCATCTCTTTGTGGTCTCCCTCTTCTTGTCTTTATCCCCAGTCTTCTTGTGCAGATGCTGTCGTGGGGCCCCATTGTGGGGGAGGAGCATCCGAGGGCTGATCTGTTTCTGTCCTAGTGGCCTGGGAAGACAGACTTCTTTCCTCCACCCCTTTCCCAAGTAGTCATTGAGACAGACCAGAGGTTTCATGATTAGGAACTTCATGTCCATGTACCCTGATCCCTGCAGTGGCTCCAAAGGAAGAAAAATCCGTACAAAATTTGGACCTGTGGGTAGATTTTTTCCCCAGCAGTCAGTGCTGTTAACAATACATTCAGCCTGGTGTTTCTGATTACTCTTCTCTCCTCGTTCCTTGGTCTGAGGGAGGTCATACTGAAGGTTTTTCTTCAAACAGTATCACATATGACTTGGACACATTCAAATTTTAAATTCATTTGCAAAAGGAACTTTGTTTAAATGATTTATTTTTCAGTTTAAGTAAAACTTTAGACTATAGATCCTAATTCAAACAATTTTCCTCCATGACTTACTGTTTTAAATAAATAAATCTTCAAAATGATTTTTGCGGTTTTGTAGACCTTTCAGTATTCTAGCCATTTTCAGTCTTCTTCTGATTTATTTAATTCTTCCTACTTTATTATAGTTGAATAATATATTTGCACATTATTCCTGATGTTCATTAAAAATTTAAAATATCAGGTATGTGGTTCTTACCTGTTAACAATGAATCCAGATGTTTTCTACTGAAAGGGTGCCAGGTTTTCTTACTATCATAGATCTAACTTTGGAGAATAAATTTGGAACAATTCTGTAGGGACGATTGGTCACAGATGGCTGAGTGATAATAAATCTCCAGATTGAGATAGAGTCCTTCTGGATTGCAGCACTTGAATTGATTTTAATAATTTGAAATATTCTATCCTTTATCAACCAAGTAAACATAGGTATTCCTTATTTAAGTTATTCTGATTTTGCAAAAGACATGTAATTATATTATAACTCCTTAATTTTATCCTTGGTCTTAAACCCCATACTGTGACATCTGTGTCAAAACTTTACTCTTTTCCCCCAAACCATAAGAGTTTAGTTTCTTAATAACCTGAAAATAAAACAAACAAACAAAAAGAGACCCTCTTGCAGGAAATGTTCCCATGTGTCCCAAGCTGAGCTATACTGCTCTTTCTCCTATTCATGATCATATTTAGCACATAGCATAATCATTACTGGCTTATATAACTGAGCTCCTTGGAGGCAGGAACTATTTCTTATTAATCATTGCATCTCCACTGCTTAGCAGAGTTCCTGGTATTCATAGATGCTCACTAAAGAATGAAGAAAAGTCATTTATTGGGAGTTTTATATTCAGTCACCTCTTCTGCCTAGAAAATGATATAGGAAGGAATGAATACTTCAGTTATTTTAGAAAAATGTTTTTGACTAATTTACAAGCCAAAGGAACTTTACACATTGTTATTCATATAAGAATTTTAGCCCAGTTTCACAATATGATTTATTACATTAGAGATGTTAGAACATTGTTTTGTTTTGTTTTGTTAATTTTACAAATCAGGGCCCCAGTAGAACCTGATGCCATATTCACATTAGGGTAACTTGTGGCAGGTAAGGGTGTTTTAGGAAGGTACTATGTAAAAAGAGTGGGCAACATTAGCATCCCATATGGGCGCTGATTCAAATCCTGGCTGCTCCATTTCTGATCCAGCTCCCTGCTAATGTGCCTGGAAAAGCAGCAGAAGTGACCCAATTGCTTGAGTCTCTGTAACGCATGTGGGAGACCCAGAAGAAGCTCCAGGATTTGGTCTGTCCCAGCCTTGGCTGTTGCAGACATTTGGGGAGTTAACCAGTGGATGGAAAAACTCTGCCTTTCAAACAAATAAATAAATCTTTAAAAATGTGCTAATAAGTATATCACCTAATTCTGAAAGCATTGAGCAGTATAGGTTTATACAAAAACATTTGTTGAACTTCTAATCACTACTAGGCACCATGCTAAAATGCTGGGGAAAACGTGGCAAGCAAGAGACGTGGTTGGAGCCGTCATGAAGCTCTCAGTCTGGCAGGCCATTAGTGCTCCTCTGATGAGTAAAGCTCTTGGTGATATGATTGTTTCTGAATGCTGGAGGATGCCCAGTCTTCTGTGTTATGAATGAGTCCAGCTCCAAGACCGTCTTGTAAGTGTCTTGTATCTCCAGATTGTCAAGGATGACATATCTAATTCCTCAAGTCCTGGAGATCACTTCAAGATTGAAAGCTCTGGATTAAAATTCCTGATTCTATTCATAGAAAGGCACAGATACTCTGATGCCTCATAGACACATCACCTAGAGAGGAGTGTGTCCAAATGAAGGTTCCGCTTCCCAACCCTTTCTTTTCCATTCTCATCTGTGGCTATCTGTGGTCCATCACCATAACCGTATCAGACCAAGGCCTTGTCAAGGTGTTCTATTCAGTGCCCTGGAACTGGAATTGAAGACACAGGCTGCCCGGATACTTGCCTCATTTCTCATAGGATCATTCCTAAATCAATTTTTTAAAAGATTTATTTTTTATTTGAAATGCAGAGTTACAGAGAGACAGAGAGAGAGAGAGAGAATGAATCTTCCATCCGCTGATTCATTCCTCAAATGGCTGTAACAGCTGGAGCTGGGCCAATCTGAAGCCAGGAGCCAGGAGCTTCTTCACGGTCTCCCGCATGGGTGCAGGGACCCAAGGACTTGGGCCATCTTTTACTGCTTTCCCAGGCCATAGCAGAGAGCTGGATCGGAAGAGGAGCAGACAGGACTTGTATTGGCATCCATATGGGATGCCGGTGCTGCAGACTGTAGATGGCAGCTTTACCCACCATGCCACAGCACTGGCCCCTCCTAAATCAATTTAATATAGTTGATATTTGTGAATGGAAGTAGAATTAGTATGTCTGATTTGTTGATTCTTATTTTAAAGTCTTTGTAAACATTAGTACATGGAGTTCTTTGGATCTGATTATATTGTGTCACATTCCTGTTCATATTCCTTCATGTTTTCATGCCTCCTTTGGTGCATTAGCTATTTAGTTTTTGTCAGGTATCACAATTGCAGATTTATTTGTAGAGATAATTTCAGGCCTAGGATGATCTCTTCCTCTGGTGAGGACTATAGCTTTTTCCAGGTCCCTGGGACCTCTGGCAACCTGGAATCATCTTAGACCTCTTTTAGACACCATGAAGCTCTGAAGCCGACAGCAGCTGGGAGGGCCTCTCAGTTTCCAGCTCACCTTTAGTTGACTGGCGGATGCACAACTTTAGGATCCCAACTTACGGCAAGACCTTCTTTCCAAACCAGATTGTGGCTGTGGGAGGGGAGGCTCTCATTGTCTTTCTCTTTCTGTCCTCTTAGGCTGCTAGGTTGTCACTCAGTCTCTCTGCCTCTCAGACAGTAACTCTCTGAATTTAGTGTTAGTTCAATACTGAGGTAGCCTCAAAATCAAGGAGTGGATGAGGAGGAAAGGAGGAATGAATGAACAACAACAAAAAGGAGCAATTTAAAAACTTTAAATCATTCAGTAGTGTAAGTTATTTGAAGAATGAGAATGTCTGGGACCTGAATCAGGGAAACATGGTATAAAGGATTAGAGCCATGAATGAAAGTCCGTGTTGAACCCAAAGATCAATCAGGAGAGAATGAAACATTAAATAATTGTAATAAAGTTTATTGTTTTTTGTGTTTTTTAGGCCTTTCATTTCTATCAGCAATGTCTTTAGCTTTCTGTTAGAGATTTGGCATATTTTTGTTGGATTAATTCCCAGGTATTTGGTTTTTTTAATGGTCTTGTAAATGGCATTCTATTTTTATGTTTCATTTTTCACTTGTTGGTTTTATATAGAGATGCAATTGATTTCATATATTGATCTGGCATCCTGAAACTTTGCTAATTCTCTTGTGCATAATCACGTAGTCTGCTAATAGGAACAGTTTTAGTCATTCCCTGCTTTGTAATATTTATGAATTTAACATCTTTCCTTTTTTTATTTACTTGAAAGTCAAGAGTTACAGAGAAAGAGGGATAGACACACACACACACAGATTTTCCATCCATTGTTGCACTTCCAAGATGACCACAGTGGCCTGGCTGGGCCAAAGCCAGGAGCCAGCACCTTATTTCAGGTCTCGCACTTGAGTAGCAGGGGCCCAATACTTGGGCCATACTCTGCTGCTTTCTGAGGTGCATTAGCAGGGAGCTGGATTGAAAGTGGAGCAGCTGGGACTCCCCAGACACCCATGTGGGATGCTGGCATCCTGTACTGTGGCTACACCTGCTGTGCCACAGTGCCGAACTCTCATATTAATATACTGAATTACATTGGTTGCTGTTGAGTGCTAATTCACCTTTGCATGTCACTGGGGGAAAGAACATTCCATGACTTATTGCTGGCTTTTATTTACTAATGTCTTGCTGATTTTTGTATGTGTGATTGTGAGAGATACTTGTGTATAATTATATGCTTTGGAATATCTTAATTTTGTAGTTTAGAATTATGCCAACTTTGTGAAATGGATTGGAAATATTTTTGTCTCCTCTATTTCCTGAATTTGTGAGAGATTTTAAATTTTTTTCCTTTAATATATAAATTAATTCAGTATTGGAACAATCTTAGATAAATTATGTTTTGTGTTGGAAAGTTTATGATCACATAAACATTCCTTTATAGATGTGGACTATTTGAATTCTGTGTAACTTTTTTTTTGACAGGCAGAGTGGATAGTGAGAGAGAGAGAGAGAGAAAGGTCTTCTTTTTGCCGTTGGTTCACCCTCCAATGGCCGCCACGGCTGGTGCGCTGCAGCTGGCGCACTGCACTGATCCGAAGCCAGGAGCCAGGTGCTTCTCCTGGTCTCCCATGGGGTACAGGGCCCAAGGACTTGGGCCATTCTCCACCGCCTTCCCGGGCCACAGCAGAGAGCTGGCCTGGAAGAGGGGCAACCGGAAAAGAATCTGGCGCCCCGACCGGGACTAGAACCCGGTGTGCTGGCGCCGCTAGGTGGAGGATTAGCCTATTGAGCTGCGGCGCTGGCCTGTGTAACTTTATTTAAACTTTTAATTAATATGTAATATTGATATTTTTATAGAGTACAGTATAACACCTCAACATGTGTGTATCTGTGTATATATATTTTTTTCCATAGTGATCCATCCATGCAGTTAGCCTTTTAATTTCTTTTTTTTTTTTTTTTACTTTTTAAATCATTTATTTATTTGAAAGTCAGATTTACACAGTGAGAGAAGGAGAGGCAGAGAGAGAGCAAGAGAGAAAGAGAGAGGTCTTCCATCCTCTTGTTCACTCCCCAATTGGTCTCAACTGTTGGAGCTGAGCCGATCCAAAAGAGGGAGCCAGGAGTTTCGGGGTCTCGCACGCAGGTGCAGGGGCCCAAGGACCTGAGCCATCTACTATTGCTTTCCCAGTCCATAGCGGAGAGCTGGATTGGAAGTGGTGAAGCTGTGACTCGAACCAGCACCCATATCGGATGCTGGCACTGCAGGTGGCAGCTTTACCTGCTATGCCAAGCGCCAGCCCTGCCTTTTAATTTCTTTATCTTTTTCTTGTGTTTTAGAACCTGCCACTGCCTCTCCTCCAGTTCTTTATACAATGTAAGACATTATTCTGAACAATAGTTACTAGCTGTAGAGCAGAACTGGTTACTTCTGTTTGTGCTTTGGTACCTATTATCCGGACTCTGGCTGTCTTGCTCCCTCTCCCCTTCTTGTCTACAGCAATCACTACTCCAGGTTTGGATTGACTACTTTTTAACTTCCACAAATGAGGGAGAACCTACAATGTTTGTCTTTCTGTTTTGGCTTATTTCACTTAGCATAATGATCTCCAGTTGCATTTCATTTTACAAATTAAAAGATTTCATACCTTTATGACTGTAATATTCTATCATGTATAATTGTGACATTTTCTTTATTCACTCATCCCTTGATGAACATCTAGATTGATTCCCTTTCTTGACTATTGTGAATAGTGCTGCAGTGAACATAGGAATCCAGGTATCTCTTTCACATGCTACTCTCAATTCTTTTACGTGTATACACAGAAGTAGGATGCCTGGGTCAAATGATAGACCGATTTTTAATTTTTTGAGCAACCTCCGTGGTGTTCTGTCTAATGACTTTACTAATTTGTTTTCCCACCATATTCTTGGTGGTATTTATTATGTTTTGTCTTTTTGATAATATTCATTCTAAGAGAAGTGAAATGATACCTCCTTATGTATTTTTTTAATTTATTCATTCATTCATTTGTTTGTTTGAAAGGCAGGTTTGCATAGAGAGAGACAGACAGATTTTTCATCTTCTACCCACTGACTGCAACAACTAGTGCAGAGCTGGGTTCAAACCAGGAGGCAGGAGCCAATAGCTTCATCTGCGTAACCCACATGGGTGAAGGGACCCAAGGACTTGGGCCATTCTTCACTGCTTTCCCAGGCACCTTAGCAGGGAGCTGGATCAGAAATGGAGCAGCTGGGACTCAAAGAGGTACTCCTATGGTATGCCAGATTTAACTCATTGTGCCAGAATGCCAGCCCATCATTCTGGTTTTGATCTTCATTTCCCTGATACCTAGTGTTGTGGAGTGTTTTATCATGTATTTGTTGGTTATTTGTATTTCTTCTTTTGAAGTACGTCTGTCTAGATCTTTTATCCATTTCTTGACTAGATTTTTTTCTCTTTCTAGTTGAGTTTTTTGAATTTCTTGTATCTTCTGGATATTAATTATTTGTCACATTAATAATTTGAAAATATTTTCTCCCATCTGTTTGCTATCTCTTCACTTCATTGAGTGTTTGCTGAGCAGAATCTTCTTACTTGGATATAATCTCATTTGTCTGTTTTTGCTTTTGTTATCTGTGCTTTGCGATCTTATCCAAGAAGTTTTTCCTATACCTATGTCTTGAAGTGTTTCTCTTGTATTTTTTTCTAGTAGTTTCAGGTCTAACATTTAGTACTTTGATCCATTTTAAATTGATTTTTGGTGTGTGTGTGTGTGTGTGTGTGTGTGTATTAGGGTTGGCGGTTGTTTCAATCTTCTGCATATGAATGCCTAATTTTCCCACCAGTATTTATTGAAGGGGCTGACCTTTCTTCAGCATATGTTTTGGCATCTTTGTTAATGATTTTTTGGCTTTGTGTCATTTATAGGTTATATTTTGTAAGGGATTTTCTATTTCATATCAATTTTCAGCTTAATAGGCAAAATATTTATTATGTTCCCATATTCCTTACTTGTAAATTCCTTTGATTTAATTTAGTTTATTTATTTGAAAGGCAGAGTGACTGAGAGAGAGATGGAAAGAGAGAGAGAGATCTTCCATTCACTGGTACACTCCTCAGATGTCTGCAACAGCCTGGACTGGGACAAGCCGAAACCAGAAGCCATCCAGTTCTCCCATGTGGGTGGTAGGGGCCCAAGTACTTTGTCCACCTTTGTAAAGTTCCCAGGTGTATTAGCAGGTAGCTGGCTTGGAAGTGGAGAGGCCAGGACTTGAACTGGAACTCATATATTGTATGCCTGCTTTGTAGGCAGCTTGTTAATCTGCTTGACCGCATGTCACCACCTCCCCTCTTCCCTTCCCTTACTCCTCCCCCCATAAATTTTTTCAAGTGCTTATATGATCTGTGGTAAAATTTTCCTTTTTTATCCTTGAAATAGGTATTTATGCTTTTCCTTTTTCCCCCTTAAATAGCCTTGCTGGAGTTCTATCAATTGTACAATTCTTCTCGAAACCTTACTTTCACTGTTCTTCAATATTAGTCCATTTTTTGTTTTATCTTTATTCTTACATTCATGACTTCTTTCTTAGGTTTAATTTGTTCTTTTTCCCACACTTACTGTATATGGGGTTTCTCCCCAGCGTGGACCTTCTGAGGGACATGGGAGTCTGAGTCTGGCCACAGTGCTTCCCGTGATGGCATTTGCAGAATGTCTCACCCGTGTGCAGTCTCTGGTGTATGAGAATTTGATAGTTACTTGATAATTTGATTGTTGTTTGATTTTGACTTGTCCTACAGAGCCTATAATATTTACTGATCCCCACTCTTATATTTAAAGTTTCTATTTCTTTTACTTTTCAAATCATGCTAAATGTTATCTTCAGGATTTTCTACATACAAGAAGGTATTATTTGTAAATAGATAATTTTGTATTTTTATTCTAGTTTGGATTTTTTTTTTATTTCTTTTTCTTGCTTAACTGCTCTGGCTTAAACTTCCAATACCGTTTTGAATATAGATGAGGAAAGTGAATATCCTTTCCTTGACCCATGTCTTAGAAGAAAAGATTTCAAGGTTTCACAAGTAAGTGTGATGTTCACTGTGTGTGGGCTTTTCTTATATGGCTTTATGTTGTGCTGGCCTCCTTCAATTGCCATTTATTGATTGGTCTGTTTTTTTTTTTTTTAAATCAGAAAATAGTGTTAAATATTGTCAGATTAGTAAATCATGGACAAAATACCTTTTCTCCCTCATTAACACAAAAAATGCTGTTATTTTCCCTCTTCAATCTGTTAATGTAGGGTAGGACATTGATTGATTTTCATATGTTCAATGATCTTTATATTCCAAAAATAAATCTCATTTGGTTTTTGTGTATAATATAGTGCTGAATTGTTTGCTAGTATTGTTAAAGATTTTTAAATCAATGATCACAAGTTATATTGGCCTGTACTTTGCTTTATTTAAGGGTCAGGCTCGTCTGTGACCATTGCACCCTAAACGCGCCTGATCTCGTCTGATCTTGGAAGGTCAGGCTTCAGTATCATGGTAATGCTGGTCTTATAGAATGAATTAGAAATTATCCTCTACTCCAAAATTTTTCTGAAAATGTTTCAGGAGGATTGGTGTTAGTTCTTTAAATATTTGGAGCAGTTCACCATTGCAGCCATCAGACCCATTTCTTCATTTTGTCAGGCAATTTTTACTAATTCGGTCTTCATGTTAATTATAGGTATATTCATGTTTTCTATTTCTTTCTGATTCTGTCTTGGTAGATTTTGTGTTTTTAGGAATTTGTCCATTTCATCTAGGTCATCTGATTAGTTAGTATACAGTTGTTCATACTATTCTAATACTTTCATTTCTTAGAATTGGTGGTAATATTCTCTTTTTTGTCTAAGACGTAGTACTTTGAGGCCTCTCTTGCTTTTCTAAGTCTATGTATCTAAGGGTTTTTTTAATGTTTATCTTTTTAAAGAAACAAGTTTCAGTCTCGTTTCAGTCTCATTGGTTTTCTCAATTTTTTTTTTTTTTTTTTGACAGGCAGAGTGGACAGTGAGAGAGAGAGAGAGAAAGGTCTTCCTTTGCCGTTGGTTCACCCTCCAATGGCCGCCGCGGCCAGCGCACCGCGCTGATCCGAAGGCAGGAGCCAGGTGCTTCTCCTGGTCTCCCATAGGGTGCAGGGCCCAAGGACTTGGGCCATCCTCCACTGCACTCCCTGGCCACAGCAGAGAGCTGGCCTGGAAGAGGGGCAACCGGGACAGAATCCGGCGCCCCAACCGGGACTAGAACCGGCCGGTGCCGCGAGGCGGAGGATTAGCCTAGTGAGCCGCGGAGCCGGCCCTCAATTTTTTCCTTATTGTCTGTCATATTTATCTCTTTTCTAATCTATGTTATTTTCTTCCTCTTGGTGGTTTTCACTAGTTGCCCTTCCTCCCCTTTTTTTCATTCCTCAAGTTGAAATATTACGTGATTTCTCACATTTAAAAAAGAGAGAGAAAGGCAGATAGAAGTAGAGTTTCCAAATGCCCACCACAGCCAGGGCTGGGGCTGACCAAAGCTGGGAGCATGAAACTCAGTCCAGTTCACCACTGCCTTACAGTGTGCATTAGAAGGAAGCTGGAGTCAGCAGTCCGAGAAAGGAATTGAACCCAGGCATTGCAATAAGAGTTAACACCCACTCCTACTTTGAAAATTTGATAATGTTATCTATTATTTAGCATTTTCAATCTGCAGATGATTACAAATTTAATTGAGCAACAGCTAATTTAACAATATTCTATATCTGCTGAGGAAAACACCAACACTGAAACCTTGGCCTCTTGAGCTAATTTAGCTTAGCTTAAGGATATATTTTTTACTTTCATGGAGCTTTTGTTGAGGCACACCTTGTGAACAGGGACATTTCCATCATGTTGCATACACTTTGAGGACGAAGATTACACTGTTTTTATTCCTTGTTATGCTCAGCTCCTGGCAGAGTGTGTGCACAGTAGTAAAAACTCGCTAGATAAATAGGTGTGGTTACTGTGACGTGGTGGAAAAGATAGATTTTCTCATTATTAACTAGGTCTGACTTTGAAAATGCTTCATACCTTTCTTTTTCCTTGTTTTTGAATGACAACTATACCTACAATGGAGGCAGAATTATAATTCTATAACATGGTAACCTGGTGAAAACATGGCCATGTAGCTACTGCTTTCCTGTTGCGTGGTCAATACCACTGACATTACTCCTAGTTTATATATATATATATATATATATATATATATATATATATATATATACACACACACACACACACACACACACATACACATACACACACACACATATATATATTCTCTCTCTCTCTCTCTCTCTATGTATATTTATATAGAATGATCCATTTGACATACTATCATCAGATATATCACCTTAGTTGATGATTTGGGGTGGCCTTTATTGCTTAAAGCACATTTTTCAATGTTAAGTCATAAAATGATGAACATATGGTCTTATTATTAGGTTTCTCTGGAATCTAGTCTCTATATTTGACAAAAATCTGTTACTAGTATTTTTTTGAATAAGAGTCTCTATAGTCTATAAATTTAAATCTGATCTTAATATAATGTAAGCCTCCTATAGATAGAAAAAATGTTCCTGTTCACACTGGTATATAACTTTGGATTATGATGTTCAGTTTCATGGTTTTTTTTAATGTTTATTTTTTAATGTTTAATTTTCAGAGCACTGCAAGCTTAATTTTGAGACTGAAGGTTTAATTTCAAAAGGATATGTTTAGAAGTCTCTTGTACTGGATTTCTGAAAACATTGCATTTCATCCTATTATGGAAAGTATAAACAGGTTATAGCTTAGAAACAGGTGCTAGAAGACTCAGCTCTTCGAACTTCATAGGGCTGTCTTCCAGCTGTGCACAGCCAATTGTTTACATGTGATTTTGAATAGCTCTGAATTAGAAGGCTACATCTTTCTTTTTTCTCCTCTGTTTGTTAATTGGCAGTACACAGCATAAGCTCCATTCATGTGTAAAATAAAATGCATTTCATTTCCAATGACATCAGCATTTTCTCATAGGAAACTGAATATCTAAGGAAAGGAAATCTTCAAAATTTTTTGAATGCGTTGTTAATTGTGATTTAGTACAAGTGCACTTTTAAAAAAATAAGTGTTTACTGAGTGTCTACTTTGTGCCATGCATTTCAAGGGATAAGAATATAATTGTGAATATGATGGGCAAGATTGAAATTATTATAGGGATTACATTCTGGAAGAGGGGTATGGCCAACTAGCCAACCAGCCAAGCAACCAACCTATAAACCAACCAGATTTTTCCAGTTAATGATGACTGTCATGGAGAAAACAGTACAATGTGTACTAGAGAGTGGATCAGGGATTGGTGCATGGTAGGGTATAGTGTGGTAGAGTGAGGATACTTTCTTTTTTTTGGTAATTTTTTAATTTTAAGCCTCTAAAAATTACTTATGTGACCATTCTACCAATAAAAAGTGAGTATGTATTTCTAAAATTAATTTTACTGCATGGACAAGATAACTTTCACATTTAATAAAATTTGTAATAATTCCTTGTGTCATCTTAATAGCTGATTCATATTTAAATTTCCTCCAATTGTTCACCAATGTCCTTTTACAGGTAGCTTAAAAACAAACATGATTGAGTTCAGGGTTTTGATACTAAATCTGATAGTCATTTCCCTTATGTCTCTCTTTTGATCTAAAGTTTTTTCATAATATAGAGACTTGGCCAAATTATCTTTTTGAATATTTTATATTCTGGACATTGCTTCATTTCTCCCTGATAGTGCCATTTAGCTTACAGTTCAATACTTTATGTTTTCTTCATTTTGGAATTTACTTCCAAACATTTTATTAGAATCTAATTAAACCTCTTTAGACAGAATGCATTTAGTGATACATATTTCATACTGCATTATATCTGCTAACAAATACTGTCATTAAAATTAAAAATTGACCACTATATGATGGAGATGGTTGCTTGTCCTCTTGTTGCACATTAAAATTTCCTTTTACAATCAGAAAATAATCTCTTAGTGCACTTTGGCACCATATATGCATCTAGTTCCCAATCAACCTTCTATGTAGTGGTTTTAAAATCAATTTGTTATCCTTGTCTGAATATGTAATCTCATTAGACATCACAAAATAATTAACCTTTTCTAATTCTTCCTTCTATGGTTACTATTCATAAGTCTGCAATAAAGTAATTTTACCATATGAACTAGAATCATTTTGTTATTTTGAAATATAGTTCCTATTATTAAGACAGAGATCTATGTGTTTAGTTTTTTTTTCTTTGATTTCCAATTTTCAAAGAAAAATGGATTTTATTTTGAAGGAGGAGGTTGGGTGGGATGGGAAGTATCACTGTGTTTCTAAATCTATATATATGAAATACATTAAATTTGTATACCTTAAATAAAAATAAAAGTAATTGATCGATTAAAAAAAGAAAAATGGATTCAATAGTCAATTTTTAAAAAAGATTTATTTATTTGAAAGTCAGAGCTACACAGAGAGAGAGAGAGAGAGAGCGCGCTCTTCCATTTGATGGTTCACCCCCTAACTGGCCACAAAGGCCGGAGCTTCGCTGATCTGAAGCCAGGAGCCAGGAGCCTCCTCTGGGTCCCCAATGCCGGCACAGGGGCCCAAGGACTTAGGCCATCCACCACTGCCTTCCCAGGCCACAGCAGAGGACTGGGCCTCAAACCTGCGCCCACATGGGATGCCGGTGCCTCAGGCCAGGGCATCAACCTGCTGTGTCACAGTGCCGGCCCCTTAATAGCCAATTTGAAAGGCAAAAGTGAGGGACCAGCATTGTTGCATAGTGGGTTAAACTGCCACCTGGGAAACTGGCATCCCATATGAGTGCCAGTTGGAGTCTCGAATACTCCACTTCTGATATAACTCCCTGCTAATTGCCTGGAAAAGCAACAAGAGATGACCCAAGTAATCGGGCCCTTGTCACTCATTTGGAAGACCAGGGTGAGATTTAGGCTTCTAAGTTTGGTCTGGCCCATCATGGGCCATTGTGGCCATTTGGGGAGTGATGCAGATGGAAGATTTCTCTCTCTCCCTCCCTCCCTCCCTCTCTCTCTCTTTCTTTTCCTCCCTCCCTCCCTCCGTCTGTGCAACTCTGCCTTTCAAATAAATGAATTAATCTTTAAAAAAATAAAAGAATGAGTTTTTCCCTTTTTTCTTTTTTGAATATTGTAGATTCATGCATTTTATTGATTTGATGTTTTATTGAATATTCAATAATCACATTATTTTCTTGTCCTTTTCAGTCCTTAAATTGTCACAATTTTGGCCATTGGAAGACCTCTTCTAGCTGACTCTGGAGTTATCTTGACATGACTCCATTGTAGCAATGATTAGGAAGAATGTTCTTTAAAAGGATATAGTGCTTAGTAGCTTGTGGCTTTTGTCAGCTTGTTTGACAAAGTGACGGCCAAGCTATTTTCACATCTTGGCTACTGAAAACAGTACTCTGTGCTAATACCCTTTCAAGATCTTGATTTCAATCCTTCGGGAGAAATATGCAGAAGTTAGGTTGTTGGATCATATGGCAGTTCTATTTTTTATTTGTTGAGAAACCTCTATATTGTTTTCCATAGCAGCTGCAGCATTTTGCATTCCCACCAACAGTGTACATGGGTTCTCCACATCCTTGCTAACACTTGCTGTTTTTTGTTTGTTGGTTTTGGTAATACTGCGTGATAGACTTAAAAATTTGTAGATCACATGTTAAACATTCTTTCTATAATAAAAAAATTAAAAGTGACAACCAAAGGTGGGTGTCTATTGCTATGGTTAGTATTTGGCACATGTATTGCAATTAAGGTTTGAATTTACAAATCACAGTTTAGCTTCAATTTTTGAAATAGTGAAGTCTGTATGGGACTAAAATCTATTAAATACAATTTCTATGCAACAAGCAAATTATTTCTTGTGTATTGTTCATAAATAATGGAATGCTGTGAAATGAATACTTAACAAGAAATATAGACTTATAAAAATAATGCACCATTTGCCTAAGTTTATGTGTTTAGCAGGATTTATTGTGGCTGTAAATTATTTCAAAATTGACTGCAGTATTCCATAGATTTAATATGTAGATATTTGGCAAGCAGCCCATTAACAAAACAAAACAGAAGAAATACTAAGTAGTTTCATCTACTTTCCCTAAGTTAGATTTGTAAACCATTTAGCTTTGCTTTGTTAAGAATCTTTGCATACATTCTGATATATTTAGTAAATATTAACATTTCTATAAAATTATACCTGAGTAGTGTACATATCTTTCTGTACTTACATATGTATGTGCATGTGTGTGTGTGTGTGTGTGTGGGTGTTTGTGTGTTGTGTGGAAGTAGTTATCTCTCTGTGACTGGATTCTGAATCTGGATACAAACATCTGGGGTTGGAAGTCCTTGAAAAATAAAATATTGCATCTGTAATGAACACATACAGGTTTTTTCTTCTGATTATTCCCTAAACAACAGTGTATAACAACTATTTACACAGCATTTACATTTCATTAGATACTATGAGTGATCTTGAAATTATTTAAAGTATATGAAAGCATGTGCATCTGTTGTGCACAAATATTGTATTTACTTGAAGGGCAGAGTTAGAGAGGGAGAGGGAGAGGGAGAAGGAGGGAGGGAGGAGGAGGAGGGGGGGGTAGGTGTCTTCCATTTGCTGGTTCACTCCTCATACAGCCACAATAGCCAGGGACAAAGCCAGGATCAAAGAGTTTCATCTGGGTCTCCCACGTGGGTGCAGGAGACTAAGGACTTGGGCCACTTTCCGATGCTTTCCTAGGCACATAAGTAGGAAGCTGGATTGGAAGTGGAGCAAGCAGGGCTCATACTGGTGCCCGTATAGGATATTGGCAACACAGGTGGCAGCTCAACCTGTTACACAACAATGCTAGCCCCTATACAAAGATTAATGACATTTTATACAAGGGACTTGAGAGTCTACAAATTTTGTTATCTTTGGCAAGAGAGTATGTTCCTAGAGCCAGCTGCCCATAGATACTGAGGAATGACTGTATTTATATTGACATACACATAGAACTAAAAACTTTAAAAATATTATATGTGTATATATATTTTATGTGTATATGTCATTAAAAAGTTCTTTGCTTACAAAGAGGCTTCATTCTCCCCCTCCCTTTTTCACAATTGGTTTATGTCTCTTACCTTGGAACCCAACATAGATCATGGTTTCTTGACTACAGCTCCTGGGTTAGCTCCATTTTGATGAAATCTGTCATTGATAAAAGAGAGTTCAGACTTCTCTAAACAAATTACAATGTTTGCCTCAGGAGGTAAATAAAAGCACATGATAGAACCAATGCAAAGTGGAGAGTGATAATCAGTATAGCAGCTAAGTGTTGAACAATATTGAGTACCATAACAATAACACCTAATAAATCATTCTGAAAGGTATACTGGATAAATTTTTTTTCAAGGACAAATAAAGGATACTTAGGATCAAAAGGATGCCTTTGTTATTTTGGGGTCTTTTTTTTTTTTCAAAGTACAGACTATTTCTTCTAAAGTAAGCTTTATAAATTCATTAATATATGAATCAGTCCTTAAAATACTTAAGCCTGTTATTTTGTGTTTAGGTACATTGTGAAATAAGATGTAAATGGATTTGGTGATTTATGGAAATCAATTTGGAAGCCTTTATTTTAAAAATTTTTGTATTTTATTATAAAACATTTTTAGTGTTTAATGCAAAGCATAGGTCTTATTTTTAATATCTTTTTTGTTTTAAGACAATAGAACTGTTAAAATATTTATTTTTTAAATGGATGTTTATCTGAAAGGCAGTTAAATAGAGAGAGAAAGAGAATGAATGAATCTTCATCCATTGGTTCACTCCCCAGCTGGTCTGAATGACTGGAGCTAGGCCAAGCTGAAACCAGGGCCAGAAACTCTACCTGGGTCTCGTGTGGGTGACAGGGGCCCAAAGCATCTTGGCCATCTTCTCTCTTCCCAGGTGCATTAGCAGGGAGCTTGATTGAAAGTGGAGCAGCCGGAACTCAAAGTGGCACTTCAATATGGGATTCCAGTGTTGCAGGCAGCAGCTTTGACCCACTGTGCCACAATTCTGGCCACTGAAAATATTTGTTGTAACAGAATTAATACTGATTTCCTCTGCCTTTTCTTTCTTTTTTTATTTAATAAATGTAAATTTACAAAGTACAACTTTTGCATTGTTGTGGCTTCCCCCCCAACCTCCCTCCCACCCACAGCCATCCCATCTTCCACTCTCTCTCCCATCCCACTCTTCATCAGGTTTCATTTTCAATAACCTTCATATACAGAAGATCAACTTAGTATATACTAAGCAAAGATTTCAACAGACTGCACTCACACAACTGCACAAGATATAGAATACTGTTCGACTAGTAGTGTTATCGTTAACTCTCATAGTAAAACACATTAAGGACAGATCCTGCATGGGGAGCATGTGCACAGTGACTCCCATTGTTGATTTAACAATTGACACTCTTATTTTTGACATCAGTAATCACCTGAGGCTCTTGCCATGAGCTATTGAGGCTATGGAAGCCCCTTGAGTTCACTAACTCTTAACTTATTTAGTCAAGGCCATATCACAGTGGAGGTTCCTTCCTCCCTTCAGAGAAAGGTGCCTCCTTCTTTGATGGCTCGTTCTTTCTGCTGGGGTCTTGTTCACCGAAATCTTTCATTCAGGCTGTTTTTGCCACAGTGTCTTGGCTTTCCATGCCCTCTCATGGGCCTTTAACCTCTGCCTTTTCTTAATTCTTTTTTGTAGTAACAATATTTTAATTATGGCTTAATGATTACCATTTCAAAATTGGAAGATAATGCCTTGAGTTAGAGATACAGCTTAGAGGTTTTTTTTTTAAGGTTTTATTTGAAAGAGAGAAGGATTAGTTAGATATTTTCTATCTGCTGGTTCACCCTCCTAATGGCCTGAACAACTGGATTGGGCCAGGTTAAAACCAGGAGCCAGGAACTTATTCCATGTGGGTAACAGGAACCCAAGTATTAGAACCATCTTTTGCTGTGTTCCCAGGAACATTAGCATGGAGCTGGATTGAAAATGGAGCAGCCAGGACTCACACCTGCACTCTTGTATGGGATCTCTCAGGCAGTGGCTTAACCTATTGTGCCCCAATACCAGCCCCAGCATAGAGATTTTAAAGAAATGTTTGCTGCATCACTCATTTTTTTTTAAAGATTTATTTACTTGAAAGTCAGACACAGAGTGAGAAGGAGAGGCAGAGAAAGAAAAGTCTTCCATCTGCTGGTTCACTCCCCAGGTGGCTGTAATGGCCAGAGCTGTGCCAATGTGAAGCCAGGAGCCAGGAGCTTCCTCTGAGTCTCCCATGTGGGTGCAGGGGCCAAGGACTTGGGCCATCTTCTACTGCTTTCCCAGGCCATAGCAGAGAGCTGGATTGGAAGAGGAGCAGCTGGGACTCGAACCCGTGCCCACATGGGATGCTGGCACTGCAGGCAGTGGCTTTACCTACTACATTACAGTGCCAGTGCTGCATCACTCATTTTGTTCATCCATCCTTTCATCTGTCCATCCAATAATTGAGTCCCTGCTATGTCAGGTACTTTTTTTTATTTTCTGGAAAGGGAATTTGATAAAAGAAACAGAAGGATATTCTGAAGCTCACAACAATCTTGGAAGTGAACATAGAGTTCAAACATTAGCTGTTAATTTATTACTTGTCTTACAGGAAAAAAATATCTGTTGGAGAGCAAGTGTTTCCTGTTGACCAGAAACTTAGCATTGCTAGGTAAATAGCTGTTTTCTAGGTTAAGGTGGAAGTTTTCTCTAACAGTTTTATAAGTATTGAGGTATTAAGAATAGCTCTGTAAAATGGTTCAGTCATGTCATTGTACTAATTGAAACTGGAAATAATTCCTCTTTCACACAGATTGAATATGATGCTGATTGTGAAAGTCTTCAGGGTTGAATTCATACCATAGCTCTATGAGAATGGCTCTTTCCTCAAACTCTTTTTGTTTTAAAATTTTATTTAAGCTATACTAGTTTCATGATTTTCATATATACAGATTTGGGAACATAATGATACTTCTCACTCTACCCTCCCTCCCGCCCTTTTTCCTTCTCCCTCGCCCATTTCCACTCTCAATTTTTACAAAGATCTACTTTCAGTTTATTTAATGATTGTAAAGTTAACCCTACACTAAATCAAAGAGTTCAACAAATAGTATGAAAGAAAAAACCACTCCTCAGACTCTTGCCATTATGAATGGATGTTATCATTGTTTTCATATTTGCTAAGAGACATGGAAAAATCTCACTGCTCTCCTTATTAAAATTTATTTTATTATAGTATTTTAAGCTAAGTGTCACAATTGTGTTTTGGTAAGTTGTGCACTTGTGTTCTGATTTTTGCTCATTTTTCTGATTTGTCTTTTTCTTACTGATTTATAAGAGTTCATTGAATTTTTTAAAGATGTATTTATTTATTTGAAAGGCAGAGTTACACAGAGAGAGAAGGAGAGGCAGAGAGAGAGAGAGAGAGTCTACCATCTGTTGGTTCACTCCCCAGTTGGTCACAACGGCTGGAGCTATGCTGATCTGAAGCCAGGAGCCAGGAGCTTCATCTGGGTCTCCCACACGGGTGCAGGGGCCCACTTGGGCCATCTTCTGCTTTCCTAGGCCATAGCAGAGAGCTGGATCAGAAGATGAGCAGCTGGGACTTGAACCGGTGCCTGTATGGAATGCTAGCATTGCAGGTGGTGGCTTTGCCTGCTGTGCCAGCGCCAGCCCCAAAGTTTAAGAAACTAATCCTTTGTCATTTATACATTGAGTTTTAATTTTTATTATACTTTCACATATATAGGTTTAATTCTTAGTATGGTCAAAATTATTAATATTTTAAATTAATCTTAGTTATGATTTTTGGTATTTTTGAAAATATCTCCCACATTGTTCAAATATGCATGTGAATTTTACTGTGATGTATTTCCATTTTTACACTTAATTATTTAATTTTGCTTATAGTATGATATGGGGACCACATGTTATTTTTATCATTTAATCATCCAAGTGTCCCAAAGTATGGGGAAATTTTATATAATAAACTTTTAATTTTAGAGTAGTTTTATGTTTACAGAAGAATCACAAAGATATTAAAGAGAGTTCTTATGTGTTCCACACCCATTGTTATTTACATTTATGGTATATTTCTCACAATTAGTGAAACAACATTGATATATTATTAACTAAAATCCTTCATTTCCATAGTTTTTACCTAATATACCTTGTTTTCCAACATCCCACAGAGTATACCATTTGACATCTATTCATGTCCTCTTGGGCTTCTCTTGAATGTGAATGTTTCTCAGACTTTTTGTGTTTGGATAACTGACAGTTTTGAGGACTGTTGGGTAGACATTTTGTAGAATGTCCTTCAGTTGGGATTGTTTGCTGTGTTTCTTGTGAGTGTATTGATTTGCAGCTTTGGGAAAGAAGACCAGAGACATTTTCAACAAGTTGTATCAAGGATACATACTTGGCTTGTTGCTACTGCTATTGCTCTGGGCTCCCTGGCTGAGGTATGTTTGTCAGGTTTCTTCCCTCCAAAGTTACTGTTTTTTT